AAAACTATTTGCAAAGAACTTTTCTTCTAAATTGAGTCTTCAATCTTATGGCCATTTTTTTCCTTTTTTATCTAATTAAGCAGATTAACAGATTTTTAGACATTCACATAACTTTAGCTCCCATTGTTAAAGTCAATCTTAATTAAACTCTTCTACAGCTTGTGGTCCAAACATTCCTGTCATAGTCTTACATAATTGTTTTCCAGAACTTTCTTCATTTCTCTCTAAAATATTTAATAAGTGCTTCACTGAGTCTTGTTTTCCTGAGTTTTGTATTCCTGCTTGCTGGAAAATGTTTCTGTGGTTCTGATTTTTAAAAACTCTGGAGAACATTCTGACCCCTCCAATTATCATTCAATTATTAATTATAATTCAATTTCTATTATTAGCAAGGTCTTTAAGTTTTTGATCAACAAACTTCTAACATCCCATTTTGAGTCAAATAACTTACTGTCAATAAAACAGTTTTGGATCCTCTTGCTATATAACTGACTTGCTAACTGCCGTATTTTCTACAAACAACTATCAACATTCAATACTGTCAACATTCCTATATTAATGAATGACAATTCTCTCACTGAGTCCTTTACTTTATGCTCACTACTGACCTATCATAGAAATCATATATACAATAAATTGCTAAATTAGCATCTGCTAAGGTTGTTTTTCTTGCCATTTTCTTACTCCTGATTCCATTCTCTACGTCTACAAATCTCTTATTTGTCCCTTAATAGAATACTGTTGCCATATTTAGTCTAGTTTTTCTAATGATAAACTCTTACCCATCATCGTAAAGTTGCATCTCTTTTTTTTTCTACAAATACCATCATGGTCACTGCTCAAAGGAGCTATTATCTCTAGCTCAATCAACTAAAACTCATTCTTACTTGATTCGTCATTCAGCAAAGTCTCATTCTTATGCTGTATCTGTCCCTACTTTTTTCTTGTACTTTACCCTTTGGAACTCTCTCCCATCTTCATGTTTTCCTGACTCAACCTACAACTTTTTACCTCTGTCATCCGTTTCCTTGCTCTATAACTATAATATTTTTTTTTTCTAGTAATTCCCAACTTTATAGTAGTTGCTTGCAGCCTTGTTGGGAGTGGATCAGAATAAAAAAAAAGTAAAAAATAAAACAAACTATAAATGATAATAGTATTATAAAAAACAAGTACTCTCTCCCACTTCTCCTATGTATATAAATTAAAGGCAAAATTATGTACCTAGTTTTCATGAGCTAATAAGGTGTCTGGACAGCTTTTTTATTTATGAACTTTGCCAGGTAGTAAAAAAAAAAAGGTTTATAAAGTTAAAAGAATAGATTAAAAAAAAGGCACACACACAAAAATATTCCTTACTGCTTGATGCTCAATGAACACGCAAATTTTTAACTATAAAACAGTATTTATATAATTGTAATTTTTGCAAAATTAAATAATATTAATATTATATTTATAATTTTTGTTATATTATTATTACTATTACTATTATTTTTTGTTTAACTTTTAAAAAAAAAGTTCATTTTGCTTTTGTATATATATATATATATATATATATATATATATATATATATATATATATATATATATATATATATATATATATATATATATATATATATATACATATATATATATATATATATATATATATATATGTATATATATATATATATAAATATATATATATATATATATATATATATATATATATATATATATATATATATATATATATATATATATATATATATATATATTTTATATAAGTTTTAATTTTTATAATTCTTCTGATTTTTAAAAGGAATTTGAAATCATTATTGTCAAAATATAAAGTAAAAGCATTCTCAAATTTACCAAAATATTTAATAATTTTATTTTATAATTACAGGGTGTACAATTGTGTGTGCAAAAGGAAAAAGGAGTTGAAACATGAAATGTCACTTATTTGAATACTTTTTTAAAAAGTACGATTTCAAGCCTCGTATAATGAATTGAGGGCTCAATTTTTGAAATACTTAAAATTTAAACTTTTTTCCTTGATACTTGATAATATTATTAGTCGAACTCCATTTATAACTCATTTTCAACATTTTTTTACTCATCTCCCTTTTCTTTTTGCACACAATTAATTTCTGACCCCCCTAGTGTCCTTTTATAAATGACAAAATCTTTAGAACAATGTTCATAATCTATAATGAGTTATTGCATCATTTTTACCTGAAGATTCCAAAATTCTGGCGCAAAAACTTTCAATAAGTGAATATTATTTGTCCTAAAGCCCATTCTTTTAAACTCTTAGGATGAGTTGTTGGCTGTTTTGCGGTCTGGGATTTTTAAAAAAGCTGTTCTGAAACCTGGCCCATATATGCTCTATCAGGCCTTGTTTTAAATAAAAAAGTGCTTAATGTATTAGCTTAACGCGATATTTGACGTCATAAAATTATCTTTATTTTTTTTTATAGACGTTAAGTGATTTAACTACCGCAATAAATACCACAATAAATACAATAAATACCGCTAACTAGTTCAATTTAACAATTAACTCAAATAACTATAAACGTTTTAAATGTAAATTTATAATAAAAAGTTTGTAATGTTTTCAATTGTTATCTTATTATTAATTTTAGTTCAATATTACTTAGTAAAAAATATATATATATATTTTAATTATTTCTGAAATTTGTTTTTGAATAATTATTGTTTATAAATCGTTATTGAATAAAAAATAATGATTTTTTTTTATTTTTTTAAAATTTCTGGAGTAAACAAAAAATATTAACATTGATAAACAAAAACCTATGTTAATTATTTAAACAGCGATTTTGTTTTGACTAGCAAAGAATAATTTAGGAAAGAATATTTTTTTAAATTTATCTTGCTTAGCGTTTCAACTTGCGTTATATAAAAATATAAAAACGTAGCATATTTTTGATACTTAGTTTAGAACGCGTTCGCCAGGAATTTAATTCATCAATTTTTTATGTTATTGTAAAAATGTTTTACATTTTAAACAAATCACAAAGAAACAGAGCTATAGAGAAATATCCTTTTTAACGATTAAATCTTTTTTTTTTAAATTTTAGAAAATTAAAAAAAAATTAAATTAAAGTACTAATTATGCAAACTCTTTTGTTAATTATTCTTAAAACAAAAAACAAATACTTCTCCGCAAAACTTTAATCGTGCGAACTTAAAAAAATACTCAACTAAAATAATATAAGTATATTTAATAATTTGAATCGTATCTGTTTATAATAAACGTTCGTAAAAGTTTGTTTATTAAAAATTAAGTTCCTTAACTTCTAAACAAACTCAAAAGTATTTTCATTCTATGTATAATTACAAAAAAAAAAACTCTTTTTTTTCTTCGTTTGTAAGCTATTTAACTTATTAAAATAAAAAAAGAATAAATATGAGGTAATCTTTGTTAAGAACAAATTTAATTTATTTATTAAACTATATTTTTATTTTTATTTATATATTAACTTAAATTAAATATAGTAACATGTTAAAATATTTTAACATGACTTGTGTTATTTATAAACCGTAAGGCAGCTGCCCTTACAACACAATTGTTTTAGGATTATATTTTATTTTGATGAAGATCACATAACTTTCATTTGATTTTAATAACGCAAGTCTTTTCTTTTTCTGTGATCATCGCATCGGCAAAGTCCCAAGATTTAAAAGTTTTTAAAGGAAATCTTTTGTCCTTCAAAATACAATCATATTTGAACTTTAAACAATTTAGAGAGAATAGAAATATAAAAGGTTTTTATATACTAGTTTGTCTTGTTTTATAAAGAAAAATACATATTCATTAATAAAAAATAGAGACTGTCATTAAACTAAAATGTGCCTTAGTATTTATTTAACGGAATCTGTAATGTGCGCGTGCATAATGAAACCTCCATTATATAAATATGTTCAACGTAATATTAGTGTCATCAGCAGATGTTATAGTCTACTCGTGATTTCTTTACCTTATAATATAACTTGATCTATGAAAAAAATTTATTGAATCGCACGCAGAAGAAATTTAACAAATTGTCTTCATTCAAAATTTGCGAGTAACAGGTAATTTTTTTTTTCTGTGCTGGCCCTCTCCCCCCGCATAACTTAAAAGCAAAGGTATATATATACCTTTAACTAATAAGAAAAGCAAAGAGTAATAATTAATGAAGTAATTTTTAGAAAAATACAAATAGATTGTTCATTCATTGGCACATTTTTTTAATATCTTGAAAAAATGTCTTGATATTTTTGTTATCGTGATAACAAAAATATTTAGACGTTTTTTGATATATTAAAAAAATGTCAACCCTTAATTACAAATTTTTTGCAAATGTTTTTTTATATGAATTTAGTGAAAAAATCTTAAAAAATTTATATTACAAAAAACATTTATATTCTGTATTAATAAGTTTGGGATATAAAAGTTTTTTACTGAAAATTTTAAAAAGTTACTACTTTTTATTAAAAACATTTGCAAAAAATTTGTAGTTAAGGATTGACGAACAATTTTTCATGTTACTAAATATTTGAATAAAAAGTTAAGCGTAAAATTAAATTATAAAAACGTATGATACGTCGCGATAAAAAGTTACTTCAATTATTTTTAACGTAATTTTTTTTTTTTAATAAATATTTTTACATATCGTTATTCAAAAGTTAATGTGGTTTTTTTAAAAATTAATTACTTCTTTTATGTTACCGCTAATTTAAAAGTTAAAAAATGATAAAAAGTAGCTTAACCAAAACAGCTCTATGCGTACGTAAAAAATCACTTAAGGCGTACGTAAATCGCTCTAGGCGTAACTTTTTTAAACAAGGCCTGCTCTATGGAATTAAGGTTTGGTGAATTTCTTGCCCAACTAGTCCAGACATTGTTGAACTCCCTATCGATGATATCTTAAAAATATTAAATTTGATTGTTGTCATTTTAATTGATTTTTTAAACAAAGTTTTTATTTTTATTTATTTATTTTTATTTACAGATTTAATCTGCTTTTACTTGAACCAGGAGAAATTTATTTTGAAGATTTTAGTGCGTACTATTATTCTTCAAAACTTACAGAAGATGAAGCAAACCAAAAGTTTGTTAAATTATTGCTTATTTAAGTTAAACTTTTTTTTTTACTTTTATCATTTTGTTTATAAAGTTACAAAAAATTTATGTAATTATATATACATATAAAGTTATATATATGTGTTTGTATATATATATATATATATATATATATATATATATATATATATATATATATATATATATATATATATATATATATATATATATATATATATATATATATATATATATATATATATATATATATATGTATATATATATGTATATATATATATATATATATATGTATATATATATATATATATATATATATATATATATATATATATATATATATATATATATATATATATATATATATATATATATAAAAATTATGTTAGTGTATTCAAAAAATAGAGTGCTCTACATTATATATAAGTATATATATGATATATATATATATATGATATATATATATATATATATATATACATGTATATGAGGGTTGATATATATATATATATATATATATATATATATATATATATATATATATATATATATATATATATATATATATATATATATATATATATATATATATATATATATATATATATATATATATATATATATACAGGCCTTGTTTTAAATAAAAAAGTGCTTAACGCATTAGCTTAACGCGATTTTGACGTCATAAAATTATCTTTATTTTTTTTTATAGACGTTAAGTGTTTTAACTACCGCAATAAATAAATAACCGCAAACTATTTCAATTTAACAATTAACTTAAATATAAACTATAAACGTTTTAAATATAAATTTATTATGAAAATTTTGTAATGTTTTCAATAGTTATTTTATTATTAATTTTAGTTCATTATTATTTAGTAAAATATATATATATATATATATATATATATATATATATATATATATATATATATATATATATATATATATATATATATATATTAATTATTTCTGAAATTTGTTTTTGAATAATTGTTTTTAATCGTTATTGAATAAAAAATAATAATGATTTTTTTTATTTTTAATAATTTCTAGAGTAAACAAAAAATATTAACATTGATAAACGCAAACCCATGTTAATTACTAAACAACGATTTTGTTTCGACTAACAAAGAAAAATTTAAGTTTTTAAATATTTTTTAAATTTTTAAAAGCGTTCAAAAGCGTTTAAAAGCGTTCAAACTTGCGTTTTATAAAAAATATAAAAAAGTTTTGTCTGCTTTGTGCATATTTTTGATACGTAGTTTAGAACGCGTTCGCTAGGAATTTAATTCATAAATTTTTTATGTTATTGTAAAAATATTTAACTTTTTAAACAAATCACAAAGAAACAGAGCTATAGAGAAAAATCGTTTTCAACGATTAAATCTTTTTTTTTTTTAATTTTAGGAAATTAAAAAAAAAATTAAATTAAATATAAATGTCTTAACTATGCAAACTCTTTTGTTAATTATTCTTAAAACAAAAAAAAACAAATACTTCTACGCCAAACTTTAATCGTGCAAACTTAAAAAAATACTCAACTGAAATAATTTAAGTATATTTAATAATTTGAATCGTATCTGTTTATAATAAACGTTCGTAAAAATTTGTTTATTAAAAATTAAGTTCTTTAACTTATAAACAAACTCAAAAGTATTTTCATTCTACGTATAATTACAAAACTCTTTTTTTTTTCGTTTGAAAGCAATTTAACTTAATAAAATAAAAAAAAGAATAAATATGAGGTAATCTTTGTTAAGAATAACGTTAATTTATTTATTGAACTATATTTTTATTTTTAATTATATATCAACTTAATTAAAATATAGTAACATGTTAAAATATTTTAACATGACTTGTATTATTTATAAACCGTTGGGCAGTTGCCCTTACGGCACTATTGTTTTTGGATAATATTTTATTTTGATGAAGATCACATAACTTACATTTGATTTTAATAACGTAAGTCTTCTCTTTTTCTGTGATCATCGCATCGGCAAAGCATCGGCAAAGTCCCAAGATTTAAAAGTTTTTAAAGTAAATCTTTTGTCCTTCAAAATACAATCCATATTCGAACTTTAAACAATTTAGAGATAATAGAAATATACAAGGTTTTTATATACTAATTTGTTTTGTTTTATAAAGAAAAATACATAATCATTAGTAAAAAATGGAGACTGTCATTAAACTAAAACGTGCCTTAGTATTTATTTAACGGAACCTGTAATGTGCGCGTGCATAATAAAACCTCCGTTATATAAATATATTCAACGTAATATTAGTGTCATCAGCGGATGTTGTAGTCTACTCATGATTTCTTTACCTTATATTATAACTTGATTTATGAAAAAAAAAACTTATCTAATTGCACGCAGAAGAATTTTAACAAATTGTCTTCATTCAAATATTGCGAGTAACAGGTAATTTTTTTTTTCTGTGCCGACCCCCTCCCCCCGCATAACTTAAATTATATACTAATAAACTAATAAGAAAAGCTATATACTATTAAACTAACTATAAGCTATATACTATTAAACTAATAAGAAAAGCAAAGACATTTTTTTTAACATCTCGAAAAAATGTCTTGATATTTTTGTTATCATGATAACAAAAATATTAAGACATTTTTTGAGATTTTATTAAAAAAAAATGTCAATTCTTAATTACAAATTTTTTTGCAAATGTTTTTTATTATAAATTCAGTAAAAAATTCATAAAAAATCTATTATTACAAAAAACTTTTATATTCTGTATTAATAAATATGTAATATAGATTTTTTAAAAGTTTTTTTACTAAAAACTTTAAAAAATTACTACTTTTTATTAAAAACATTGCAAAAAATTTGTAGTTAAAGATTGACAAACAATTTTTCATGTTGCTAAATATTTGGATAAAAAGTTTAGCGTCAATTAATTGCTATAAAAAGGAAAGATATATCGCAATGAAAAGTTACAATAATTATTTTTAAAGAAAATTCTTTTTTTTAATAAATACCTTTACATAACGTTATTTAAAAGTTAACGTGGTTTTTTTGAAAATTAATTACTTCTTTTATGTTACCGCTAATTTAAAAGTTAAAAAATGATAAAAAGTAGCTTAACCAAAACAGCTCTACGCGTACGTAAAAAGCGCTTAAGGCGTACGTAAATCGCTCTAGGCGTAACGCTTTAAAACAAGGCCTGTATATATATATATATATATATATATATACATATATATATACATATATATATATATATATATATATATATATATATATATATATATATATATATATATATATATATATATATATATATATATATATATATATATATCAACCCTCGGAATTAGGGTCGGCAATGCCGACCTAACTGTCGACCTGAAAGTGTTTTAGCTTTGCAAAAAATTGCTGACCTTGTTCTATGTTTTATGGTCAGACCTTTGTATCAAATAATTTTTGCCAATCTAATACCGACCTGAAAAAGATTGAGGTCAGCAAATTATTGCCGACCTCATTTTTTTTAATTCCGAGGGTTGATATATATACATATTAGGGATGTGACTTTTTGGTAAATATTTGTAAATCTCTAGTTTCTAATATAAAAAACAGATGAACTTTGGTTTGAAAGTAACTGAAAAGTCATTGGTTATTTAATTTTTAAAAAAGGTCACCCACCATAACCCTTGATTACACACTGGTTTCCATATATCAGTGAATTTTTTTTCTTCAAAAGTATATCAACCTGGGTCTCAAAAGAACCAGAATTTTATAGTGATTTCAAAATTCATAATCTTTTCTATCGAAACATTTTTGTTTCAGTAGAAAAGATTATGAATTTTGAAAAAAAAATTGCAGAAAAAGTGTCATTAAAAAAGTTAAAAAAATATTGCAGAAAAAATGTCATTAAAAACGACCTTTTCAATTTTTAGTTAATAATTAATGTTATTTGAATATAAAGTTTAAGCAATTCATTTTTATTTGAAACTATTATTAATTCTGAAATCTCTATGAAATTCTGATTCTTTTAAGACCCAGGTTGATATACTTCTAAGGAAAAAAGAATTCACTGATATATGGAAGCCAGTGTGTAATCAAGGGTTATGGTGGGTGACCTTTTTTAAACGTTTTTTCTTTTTAACTTATAAGTTAAAAAAAAAGACGTTTAAAAAAGGTCACCACGTAACCACGTAACACCACGTAAACGAATAAATTTGTTTAATCATATTTTTTAAAAACTGTAAAAAGTTCAAATGTAGACCAAAGAGTACTACTATTATGAAGATTTTTATATGTACTTGTGCATGATTTTACCAAAGTATTATTGTTTTTAAAAAAATTATAAGCACACAGGTGTTATATTGGAAGCAAAACAATTACTGGCACAAAATTTTTTTTTACTATTTTTTTAAATTTTTGTGGAAAAAAAAATTTAATTTATGGTAAGTCTAAAATTACATTTACATATGGAACACATAAGATATTTACAAATGTAACACATAAAATATATATGTAACACATGAGTTTTGATTAATTAAATAAAATTGATTAATTTTTACCAACATGCACATTGTAAAACTAAATTGGACGATTTCTCAAAGAAACTTAGTTGTGGATTTGGTAAATAATGGTAAGACCTAGAGAGAATTTAATAAGCAGACTGGAAAATCTTTTTCGAAAAGTTTGCAACATTTTAAAAAAGTTTAATTTGAATGGGACTACAACTGATATAGCAGGAAGAGGCCGTTTTTTTGATAGAAACATTTTTTTATAAGTCTAGCAAAACAGATTTGGAGTTGCTCAAACGATTGCGGACAAAGTTAAAAAAGAGTACAAAATCATGATTTCAGCTCAAACTAGCAGAAATAGAATCCGAGAGTTAGGATTTCACAGTAGAGTATGTCGCAAAAAATCCTATCTGACTCTAAGACATAAGAATCGAAGATTATTAATTGCAAAAAAGTATGTTGACAAGACTATTGAGTACTGGAAGAAAGTAATTTGGAGTGATGAATCCAAATTTAAC